TGTGGTTGTAATGTGACAAAATATGGAAAAGTTCAAGGGGTATGAATACTTTTGCAAACCACTGTACCGTTACCGTGAAGGGATTCAATTTATACCGTGATTTGAATTTGAGGTCATACCGCCCAGCCCTGATAAGCACACCAACAAACATTTTGTAGCCAACCCAATTCAAGAWGGCTGCTGCCATCTTGAATCACATTTTCTCATGTACCTCTATTGTTTAACTTATTAAAGCCTTGTTAAAGCCTATTTGTTTGAGTTTCTGAGGTATTTTGACCGCAACACACCTCATCTCTAAGGTGTGTTGTTACACACCTTAGAAAACACACAAATGCCTATAATTCAGTCGACTTTTAGAATTTTGTGCTAAAACCTGTAGTTAAGAGTCATTCACAGCATTTATTCCAAATGTTACTTGTTGCTCAAATTCTTTGCTTAAAGTCAGCATTAACTTTTGGTGTCAAGCCTGTTTATCTGTGAGCGAAACATGTCATGAACTACTGAATGGATTTAAATAAAACGTTCAGAAAGTAAACACATTTATGTCTGCTTTAATTTTGGAGTTAATTCTGTTAAAGTTGGATGCTGCAGCTGATAAATGTTAGCAACAGAATAGTGTCTATAATGCAGAAATTGAGGTAAAATGTGATGTAGTAGCTGAGAGTAATTCATGACTCACTSTGAGCATGACATCTCACATGAAGCTGCTGTGATGAAGGGATCCGTCACTGTAAGAACTACTTTTAAACCAGTGAACATGAACTCAGCTGCAAAAACCTAAAGCCCTTTTTTCTTTTCTTCATAGATGCTGGAGATGAGATGGACTCAGACTCTGGTCTCTCTGTGAACTTCAGCCACAGCCCTGCTTCTTCATATGTTTCTGATGGCCCGACCCATTATTCTTCTACCTCCACACCATCAACCCCCTCTCCATCCTGGTTGTCAACTGAGGCTGAGGCCATCGGTTCAGATATAGAGTTTGAGGTGACTGTAAAGCAGGAGAAGCTGGAGGAGGAGGAGATGGGAGCAGTTGGAGGAGACGTGAAGCAACTCTTTCCTGCCAGTTATGTGGATCACAAACTTCATCATAGCTTTAAATGGAGGGAACACATTGGTCATGATCACACATACAACCAGCCATCGTCGTCCACGCCTCGGTGCAAGATGGCCCCCAAATCAGGTAAATCTGCTTTCAGACATGACAAGGCAAAGCCATACCATGACATATCTGAAACCAGAAACTGGAACCGGGATGAGCGACGAGCCCGGACCCTCAGGATTCCTTTTTCCAATGAGCTCATCATTCACCTGCCCGTAGAGGACTTCAATGACCTGCTGARCAGTTACCAGCTGACCGACGAGCAGCTCGCCCTCGTCAGGGACATCCGGCGGCGCGGCAAAAACAAAGTAGCTGCCCAGAACTGCAGGAAAAGGAAACTAGACACGCTGCTGGGTTTGGAAAGGGAGGTGTCTGATTTGAGGCACCACTTCTCACAGCTGCTCAGAGRGAAACGGGAAGCCCTGAGGCACATGCAGGACATGAAGCACAGACTGAGAGCGCTGCACGAGGAAGTCTTTTCCCAGCTGAGGGATGAAGAAGGAAGGCCGCTGGATGCTACAGAACATGTGCTTCATTTTGGACCCAATGGCAGTGTCACAGTGGCTTCAGATAAAAACAGAAGGAAACAGAGGAGCAAGGAGAAATGAGGTGAAAACAGACAATTATCTCAGAGGGTCAAAGGTTATAATATGCTGAAGTGACTGCAAGAATCAGCAATAACAAAAGGCCCTCTGTGACTCAGGTTTTCTCAYGTTGGCTAAAATAAAAACACTTGAACTCACCACAAACATCAGATCTAATGTCCACCAGGGACATCAGATTTATATCTGCAGATTTCACTTTGCTGTTCTGAACAGATGAAGAATCTTGATAAACAAATTAAAGTTTCATCATTTTTAGTGCAGCTTTGAAAATGTATTTAGAACTTTGACACATTTTGTCACTTCAAAGTGTTTTACTGGGATTTTATGACAGATAAAATCAAATTTGTGCATAAATGAAGTGAAACAATGACACRTTTTAAAAAATAACTTTTACAAATAAAAATGTGAAAAGTGTGGTGTGCATCTGTACTCAACCCTTTACTCTGATATCCTGAACTAAAGTTCAGTCTTCAGATGTCACCTAACCAGTAGAGTGTAAATTATTCTCAGTATAAATCCAGCTGACCTGTGACTTTCAGAGGTTTGCTACAGAACATTAGTTCTGTTTCCTTCCACTTCAGAATGACGGTCTATGTTGTGTTGGTCTCATAAAATCCCAGTAAAATACTTTGAAGTTTGGGGTTGTAACTTGACAAAATGCAAAAAAATAAAAAAATAGAAATTTTCAAGGTGTATAAATACTTTTAAAAAACATGGTAGTTCTAACTCTGTCCTGTTTAGGCTGCTGAAATGATCTGGATTATTTTGTTGTACATTTATTTATGTGTATATTTGTTGTTTTATGTTTCATGCTTCTGAAAATACTACAGTTTATATGAATTTAACATATAGAGTCTATTTACTGCACAAACTTAATGGTTAAGCTTTAATGACAACTCAAAATACTGACTAGCATTATAAAACCTGTCCTGACAACGCTGTGCGGGACTTCCCTAGATAAGGATGACTTTGTGATGAAAAGCTGCAGGGCTTCTTTTCCTTCTGAGTTATGAAAACACTGAGTCTCACAGCYTTCCAGATATCGCTTTGACAGAAAGATGGACTGAGGAGATGTGATGACCATAATGTGCTTTTACATGCAGGAAAAACATGTAAGGTACTCTAGTAAATCTGTGTTTGGGACCAACAGTAAAAATACTGACAGTCAGCAGGCAGGATTCTTGCTGTCAGCCAACTGAACAAAAAACAAGATGAGTTTGATTCACAGGAGCTGAAATTGTGGAGGTGATGCAGTTTGTTGCAAAAAGCTGTGTGGTGTATAACTCTCTCCAAGAAGTCAGTATCACCTGCAAGAGTGTGGGTTGTTCATGGATCAGAAAACTGTTCTTGACTTTAATTTTTTTTTATCATTTATGAAGTACAAACAACCACAAACTTTGCCTTTCATGCTAGTTTTAGACTAAAATCMTTTTGTTAAGAAAGGATGTAGTTGTACCCTTTTTGGTCAAACTTTGTAAATGTCGTGAAATTTTCAGCAAACACATCAATCTTTAGCTTAACTATAAAATTAACTGAGTTGTAACCAGTTATATTTGCTCAAATCATTTAGCTGCAGCCTTCTTGAATGACTCCACAAGTTAATCTGTTGTAGAAGTACATCCATTGACGACTGGGTTTGACTAAAATCCTTTCAGTGGTTCATTAGGTATCTTGTAAACAAATGGTTGAAAATGAAGTCTTAAGCAGTGATGTCACATTGTTTGTTTGAGATGACTCTCAGCTACTGTCTAAATCCAGTGGGTGATAAAAAAAAAACCTTCATTAAATGTTCTATTTGTGTCTAAATTTAACAGCCCAACTGACTTGTGTAGCATCTAAATGTTTCATATCATTTTCAAACACTAACGCACTTTGATTTTATAAACAATAAACAAAGACTCGGACCCAGGGTGRCCTTGTGGAGTTTTAAATGTTCTCTCTRTGCACATGTWRGTTTTTCCAAGTACTCCGTTTTCCACCACAGACTGTAAACAAGCATGTCAGTGGTGGTTTTGTCTCCGTGGGTCGCTGTGAAGGACATRMAACCTGTCCAGGGTGTCTCACGCCTCTTGCACCAGCTTCTCTGTGACCCGGAAAGAAAAAAGCAGGGGCAGAACGTAGACAGGTGGACTTTTCCTCAAACCACTGAAATCAGATTTATGATTTGGGATACTTTCTTTGCCCCAGAGGAAGAGAACTATTGGAAAATACAAAACATAGGGTTGTATTTATTTACTACTTGTTTGATTAAAATTCTGAACTTCTGAACTGTAATTTCATTGTGCTCTGTATACCAATAAAGGTTTATTCAATTAAATTCAAATACAAAATAAAAATAAAAAAAAAAACAAGTGAAACCTGAACTGATTTTCTTTTGSGAAAACTTGATATAACCACTATGGAAAACAAAACCAGGAAAAATAAATAAAATGCTTAGATTTGTTGTTTAGGAAAAGCCTCGTGCAAAATACATAAAGTGTTTGAAATGATTTGTCATAGATGATTATTAATTTACATTTTCTTCATTTGCGTAACTTATCAGATTACTGCCTATAACAGGCAGAAGAAAAACTGTTTTGAAAAATCAAACCTTGGATAAGTTTRTGTTTACCTTTGTTCAAACCACATCAGGTGGAAGGGTTTCAGAAGAGTCAGGTCCCTTAGGAGGACAAAGWGATCAGGACAAATACTGAGGCTACAGTTTTGCAGCAGCTGCATATTTTGATTCATTACAACAAAAACAAATTGTTATGAATCCCAAAACATTTATTGTTTAAATCATAAAGCTGATCAAACATGCAACAGATCAATTACAAGCAAATCCACTAAATTGAAAGGAAAGATCTAGAAAAGCTACGGAGCACACATGGTTGGATCTAGTTCAAACTCTTTCAGTCAGAACATAAAAAACAGTACATTCAAAATTCTGACAAACATAGTGAAACACACAAAACTAAAACCCAATTTATCAACAGGAGCTTGACCCAATCTGTCTCTGCTCATCTGTGATAAAACACGCATCAGTACATCATTAAAACCAATTAAAACCGTTGAGATTTTGTACAAAACAGCTAAACCAGCTATTCTTTTGATGACATTTAATAGAAGTGGCCTTAAAAATATCACATCGATATGAAAAGTAAAAGCAAAATGCCCTCTTTAAGTCACCAGAACAAAAAGTTTGATCTAGCCAACCTAAATGTGCAAAGAAAGCTCCTACCCTGACTTTATTACAGTATACATATAGAAACGCACGACTGGACTACATTAAACACAACATTGGCAAGCATTAGGCAGAGAACCACGCAGCTCACTACTTTGAATTAATAGTTATTGGTTTGTGGTTAACACTCAACAAGTAGGAAAACAAAAACAAAACAAAACAAAAAACTCCTGTTATGAGTGTTGGCCAGGAATGTAAGCTAAAATAATACAGCTGTATACTGACTGTGGGGGCAAGTGTGTGAAGGTKTAAGACAAGTGGAAATGAACATTGACCACCACCTGCTGACTCCACCCTCTGTCTGCTTCKGAGTAAAAAAGGTACACCAAACCTTAGCTGGGTTCAGATGAACAGTATGTATGAACAAATAGAGATACTGAAAAAATAAACCGTTTGACTCTGTCCACTCATCTCCCCCTTCAGAAGAAGTTCCCACCTGTGTTTTGTCACAAAGCGATGGAGATGATTAATGCACGTCCTTTTGTAAACCCACTGGTTGTTAAGAAGTGCTGTGAAAATAAGAAACTAAAACTGACCATCACGTTCAAACAGTTATTAAGCTTTATGGGTTAAAGTGAAACTTTAAGCCTTGATATCATTTCACGGCATTTGTCAAATAAATCGAAAGCACTTCCTGTTTCTTTGAATGCAGTCAGACACAGGTAGGAACCTCTTCAGATCTCCTTGCAGGGCAGGAAAACAAACATATTCCCTGGGTTTCCTTCCTTCCTGGGTCCCACACTTGATGCCTAATCAGATGTTAGAGTAACCTGAACARTTAACTGGTTTAAAGTTGCTTTCCTGCCCTGCACCGCCACACTTCCCGTACAACACGTCTTCTTGTCATCCCTCTAGTCTTTTTTGTCCTCYTCTTTCTTGTCCTCTTCCTCTGTTGGATAGGAGTGCCATGTAAGACGCTCCTCGTAGAAGGAGATCACCACTTGGGGACATTTCACATTAGCCTCCTTAGCAGGAACAAGGTCTGCCTCGTCKGAGTTTTTCCTGTTCATTGTAAGAGAAAAAGAAAGAAAGATGATGGGAATATCTTTTTAAGAATGCTAAATAAAAAGGTAATACTGGTGRGAATGTAAGGCTGCTTTAATATAGGGAAATATTTCCCTTGATACCTTCCTGTCTATACAGGTGCATCTAAAATAAATTAAAATATAAAGATTTCTACTTTATTTTGTCCGTCAGTTCAGAAACTGAACCTCACATAGGTTCATTACTTATAGAGTGGAATATTTCAAGCCTTTATGTATTTTTGATCATTATGGTTTAGAAATAGCGGTGATAGGTGGTGATAGGAATGAAATTAGAACACATTGTTGCTCTTGCTAATCTGTGAGAATCTCCAGCTAACGGTCAATAAATTTACACTTTACCCATCAAGACTGACAACTTTTTCAAGGAAGAAAATGTTCAACAAATTTTCTGTGTTGCTCTTAGGTTCCGCGGCAGCTTAGAGGGGGTTGTGTCTTGCGGCCATATTTGTGAAGATAACACTGAAGGCTCACCACTTCATGAGGAACATCAGCTCTCCACTGGAGTCGGTTGCTCCAATGATTCTTTCAGGTTGCAGTCCTCTGCCAAAACCTCTAGCTTTTTCACCCTTAAGAAACACAGAATGTAAAAAAAATAATAAAGTTTTACTCAAGCAGTTAAAACAGAAAAGGAATGTTACTGCAAATGTGCAACTTCCATACAGAAGATGGTGTTTAGTGAAGTGTTTTTTTCAGTATGAAACATTTTCTATTTGTTTTAACAAGTATAATCAACAACACGAGTTTGTGGCATTTCCTTCACCCACCAAAATGAACATTGAGCAGGACTTTTGGAAGCTGTGGAACTTTCAAATTGTGTTGGAGCAATTGATGGAATTTGAACACAGCCATTTTGAATCTGCTCTCAAAGATGGGCAACTTCCTCTGCCTCCACATGCACATCTCCCAGTCACAAACATCAAGGCTCCACATGTTTGTGGGAGATGTGGTGTTCCCACTGCATGTTAACCTCATGCATTCCTATGCAGGTATGTTGAACAAAATGTAATCAGAAAGTTAGAAATAAGGATGAATATGAAGTTCATATTAAGATTATTTTATTTTATTGTCCATCGTGGGAAACTATGAATGATGACTGTGATGTTTAGATTCTTGAATATAGCGTATTAAATTATGTATTACACAGATATTTCACTGGGTCAGTTCATATGATATTTTTTCTTTCTCAATTTCTTGAGCTGAAAACCACGCTGGAACAGACGTATAATTATTGCCGCCGTCATGCATGATGAGTGATCGAAAATGTATTTGAGATCTTAAGGCTTCTTCACACTCCCTCTGAACTGYTGACGTCGGCAMGGGTTGTSGCAGTTTCATGAYGAAAATTACGTCACAAGTGTTCGCARYGTCRGCTCGGCCGCCCCTTTTGGCACAACCCACCGGCAGAACTTTTTACCCTCCTCCCGCGACAACGGTAATGTGTGATTGTTCTGAAGTTCTTGGGCGTGTTTGTGCTGAAAGCGCTTCCGCTCTGTAAAAAAGAAAAAAAAAAAGAAAAAAAAAGAAAAGAAAAGCAACTCGCTCTCAGAACCGTTACCAGGAAGCAGAGTTTTATAAAGATGGTCAAACCRTGAAAAACTCATGGATGGAGATTAAACAGACGTTGTGCACGGAGGAATCTGACTGATAAAAACTGTGGAGCTTTAACCAGGACAGAAAAATAACATCGGGTGAGTGAAGAGTCTTTTTTCTGCATTGTCGGCTGTAGCGGGAAGTAACTCCATGCAGTGACGTATGCTGCAGTGGGAGGGGTTTCCCAGGAGCTCATCGCGGTGCATCTCTGGAGCTATGAAAGGTCTGTGCGAAAACGAATGCGGAACAACCACGTGAYCGTGCGTYGACCAGYTGGCGTCGGAGCGAGTATGTTTTAGGCTTTGGCTGCAAGGTGGAGGATCCTTGGGCGCTCAGTGTAGCTGAGTTCTTTAGACCCCATAGGGACTTTCCCCCTGGCAGGAGGAGACTGTCAGGAGGGCGTGTCTACAGTAATTAGTGCACTATGTGTGCCCTTTTTGTTTTTAACCAAATGCTTGATGTTTGTTTTTCTGTTTCTTTTGAACCAAACAAGTTTGTTGACTTTTGTGGGCAAAATGAAGTCTAGTTGCTGTCATTAAATTAACAATATACAGTACATGAAAAAAAAACACACTAAATGCTCTGGTATTGTTTTGGGTGCTGGACCAAATGGGGAGGCGGGCCAGATCCGGCCCGCGGGCCGTAGTTTGGGGACCACTGGTGTAAAGACTTGACAGAAAATGACATGGAATCCAGATTTTTGCACAGCTTTTGGCTTTTAAAGATTATGGTCTTGAACTTTTGATCAGCTGAAAAAAATCATGTTTGAGTGTAAATGCAGTTTTCAGAAAATTCCCTGCTCAAAAGTTCTTGTCTCTTGCACTGATTTCTTCTTTTAACATTGTGAAGCTCTACTTAGAACCTTCTTAAGATCCAATAGTGCAAAATGCAAATTCTTGCACTTTTTTGAATAGTCTTAAGATTTTGATCAGGAGTGTATTTTATCAAAATCTTAAGACCAGTCAAAAAAAGTGCAAGAATTTGTATTTTGCACTATTGGATCTTAAGAAGGTTCTAAGTAGAGCTTCACAATGTTAAAAGAAGAAATCAGTGCAAGAGACAAGAACTTTTGAGCAGGGAATTTTCTGAAAACTGCATTTGCAGGGAATTTTCTGAAAACTGCATTTACACTCAAACATGATTTTTT